GTGTCTATGAGCAGCTTACTTGTTTTACTTGTGTGGAATGAAATTATACCCACGTAATAAAAAATTAGCTAGAATAGTTCAAAGTCATCTTAATATAGATATAGACAAATACGTCCATTGGTATTTCCCTATTTAGACAGAAAAATAACAAAAATGTTCCTCGGGTATAAATTTTCCCTTTATAGACTTAAGCACAGCAAATGAGACAAGTTTTGGTTCACTTTCATAAGGACTGCAGACATTTTGGGTGGAAAATTGGTAATATATATTCAACTAAAAGGCAATTCTAACTTATAGGCTATTTTAGATCAAAACATTCTGTAAGGTGTCCCTTTGGGAAAAGGCTCTGGCTGGGTTTCCTGCCTCCGCTTGTACATATTCCATCTTGCAGGGTGCTAAGAGACTGCTCTGTGCAGATCCCTATGTCCTCCATCTAATTACACTGGTAACCTTCCCAATGACACACACCAACACCCTGCTGGCCTTCCATTCTCACTCCCACCTTACACACTAGGAACTCTGCCTCTACAGATTTCTAGTCATTAGGAAAGCCACAGGTATTGATTTGTCTGGACAGTTCTTATTCATGTTGCCCAGACAGAATTGTTAATAGATCACATTTCTCACTCAAAAGTGTTCAGTGAATAAATCACTAAGATAAAGAGTCCCAGTATCAAAGGGAGAAAATCTTCTGATGGATAGCTCTCTTCCCTTCTGAACAGAGAAGTAAAATCATACTTGTTTTGTTAATGTGAAGAGTGGATTTTTCCATAAAGTTCTAAAGTTAAAAAAAATGTGATTTTGAAACTAACACTTTATAAACCAGACACCCTTTAAAGTATTTTAGATCCTGGTTTCCGGTATCTCCAATCTTAGAGAAATAAGCAGATTTTGTTGTGTTTTTCTAAGTTATGCAACTATTATAAGAACATTACACTAAATCTTCCCACGGGAAAAAAAAGGTTTCCTATACTTATATATATACATAACAAGTTATATTATAAAATGCTTGCTATACAATTGACACATCAAAATGAAAGATTAGATCAAAATTCAAGGTGCAAGAATCAACATTAGAATACAGACTACTAAGAATTAATTTTACCTTCTGCACAGATTTCTCCCGAGATCATTAATATAATAACAAAAACCAAATCTTCCCACCTCATCTTCAGTGGTACGTTTCACAAAGATTTGAACAACTCCAAAGCACCCAGTGGCTTGTCATCATGTGCACAATACTTCTCCTGAAGAAAAAGTTAATAATTTACAACATCTGTCTAAGTCCCTTTGGAACAGGCCTCATATTGCACTTAAAATATTTTCCAATAGTGTCAAAATAATACAGCTGTAGGAATGGATGTTGCTTTCATACCCTGGTCAGACAAGAATAGGCTAGTCAACATGGGCAGGTAGCAGAGCACATATAATTCATACAGGCTGCATAAAAAATAAGGGGTATTTTCAACCCAGATTCCCAAACATAAGTTCATAGAGCAAAGTTCACCTGGCCATTGGTGTGTACTACCACTGATCAAGAGAAGGGATGAACTTAGGAACACAAATTGTTGGAAATCCGGTGTTAAGGTAGGCTGCCGTCTGGACTGCACTCCTGAAAGACATAACTGTGGCAAGCAATGCTAGAAGGCAATTATTAAAAACAGTCATATGTAACACAAGAGTTTAATCTTACACCAAATAGAGAGATAAACACACTGCCATATCCTTGGCCTTTTTATGAGAAATAACTTGATGCAAGTCCATAATTCAAATTGTATCTCATTTCCCTCAAATGAAACATACTAACAAAAGTGTGCACACCCTAAATGCAAAAACCAATATATTCCCACCAAGTGAAAATATCCAAGAGTACAGAACTCAGAATTAGGAACAAGAAACCAAGCTACAGCATCTTCGATAACCACCTGTGACAAAGATTCTCCTACTACTAACAGCATGGGTTAATTTTGCCTAGACACAAATGGCATCATTAAGCTTATTTTCTTTTATGCCTGGTCCCTTTTGTCTAACACTTACTTTTCAGATTCATCCATATTTTGAGATTTGGCCAATAGTTTCTTTCCTAATCATATTCCATTCTGTGATCACGCCACCAATAATTTATTCATGCCACTGATCATTGAAAACAATGGGTAATTTACTTTAAGGAAATCATAGGCTATCTGCTTATTTTCGAAGATTTTTATTTGAAAACTTTGAAACAGAACCTCTTTTTGATTCTGCCATTGATATTTTGCTACAGTCTCTTAAGTGCTTCAATCAGTTCAACTTTTAAAGTATCTCCAGGATTTTTGTATTTTGCGTAATTGAAAGTTTGTATCCTCTGACCAATACATCTCTATCCCATACTCTACCCTACCATTTCCCTAAGCAAGGGCACTTTGCTCTGCTTCTGTTTGAGTATTTTAAATACCACCTGTGAGAGAATGGAGTACTCATCTTTCCATGTCTGCCCATTTCAACCAACACAATCCAAGGCCATTCATGATGTCATAAAGAAGCCATTGTAGTTACTTTGTTGCTCTCCTTTACTGACTCACCCATCTCCATGGACATTAGATGGTTTCCATACATGGGCTATTGTGTATAATACTGAAGTGGGCCTTGTTTTTGTCTTGTTTTAATCCAATGGATAAGAAGCTAGACTGGAGAGGGGCTGTGTGGTCTTTTATAATAACCCATTCTTGCAGGGACTGTGAGCCTCAACCGACCCATTCAGCAAGATCAGTAGGGATCCACTGAGAGGGTGAAGTCCGCACACAGTGCTTAGTCTCCACCTCTTAGAGGTTCCACCTCAACCCTGCCAGCAAGGAACCAGGCTTCCACCAATCCATCTCAGAGGGATGAACTGTATCTAATGCCTGACGGTTAGTTTGTTTCTAAATTTATTAGAACTTTAAATCAGAAATGTGCCCATTTTTCTTTTGTCCAATCTGTTAGCACACATCATGGCTCATGAAGTTCTTCTATGGTTCTTTTGATTGTTGTGCGGTCAGGACATTCCTGGGGCTTGTGTATCCTGCCAGGAACCCGGGGTAGAGAGCAAAGAATGAACTTCCCCCTCCACATCCCACACATACGTTCTGTGAACTGTGTCGGTTTGCTTTGTACTGTTGTGTGTTGTCATAAGCAAATATTTGTCATTGTTTTTGCCCTTGTCTGTTACTAACCGTCATTTTCATGCCCTCATGACACTATGGCCACTCTTCATAACTGTCTTTATAATTACCTTCAGTAGTGAGATTGATATTTTCATTTGCATTTAGGTTTTTTAGCAACTTTTTGTTTCAACTTCAACAATTCCCATTAGTGTTTTTGATAAAACTGATCTAGTGCCAATAATATACTTATACTGGTCAATTAAGTCTTAATGGTATCACTTACCAAAATTATTTATTTATACTAAAATTCTGTTAAATGAAGAAAAAGTAATGGGAGAGTCATGATGAAAATATAATGCTTGGAAAATACTTAGCACTAAGAGCTCCTAACATACTTTATAGTTTGCCAAATTCTCCAATATAAAATTTAATACATCAATATATTATTTATCAAAGCAAAACTATAAGTAAAAAAAAAAATCAGACTACTTAGGTTTAATCCTTAAATTGCCCCAACAAATTACCTAAGTAAATAGTCGTTCTAGCTAATTCTGATTTATTTCAAACAGTTATAATTTTTATGGTGTCCATAGATAAACAAATTTTGGAATTTCAAACCATCATAATTCGTTTCTGTGACCCCTAAGTAACACAGACACTTTGTAGGTGACCTAAAACTATGCAAAAAGAGAAAAGATTTACTTTCAAAACTGGAAAACTCCAAGTCTATGGTGCATAAACAGACAAGTTCTTATTAAAAAGCAAGATGCACTCATCCCATGGCAAGTTGCAGCCCCCAGCAGTTAAACGGAGGATCTTGGTCATATCCAGTGGGCAGGGGCCAGGCCAGGATTCCCATTGGGAAGCTGCTTGCCTGTCTAGAGGCTTCAGCCAGGAAGATACAAATGGGATACAAATTCCATTTGCAGGATTATTTTATAGTCTCCCCATATATTAAGTGTGCAGACAGAATCTTCAATTTCTAACATTTGTTATTTTAAAAAATGCCTCAACTTATAAGTAAAACAAGGGTGCTTTGTCGGTGGGAATGTAAGCTTGTTCAACCAGTCTGAAAAGCAGTGTGGAGGTTCCTCAAAAAAATTAAACATAAAACTATGATCGTTATGATTCAGCATTTCTACTCCTGGACATTTACCCAAGAATTACAAACCAGGATACAGTAAAGGCACCGGTACAACCATGTTTAATGCAGCACTATTCACCTTCATCAGCCTAGATGCCCCTCAATGGACGAATGGATCAATAATATGTGGTATATATTCACAATGGAATTTTACTATCCATTAGAAAAAATGGTATTGTGTCATTTGTAAAGAAAGTAGAGGACCTGAAAAATTATACTAAGTGAAATCAGGCCCTTACATGTGGAAGCCAGATACACTGGGGTGCTATGCAAATGTATCAACTGAAATAAGGTAGACTCAAGAGAATTCAAATAGTACAATTCTCTATAAAGGGGTAAAGTCAAAGTTCAGAAAAATAAAATATCAGGAAGCAGGTCCTCAAAAGGGATGGGGTGAAGTCAAGGAAAATGAAGATGAGGAGAGGGGGGTATGTAGTCTAGAAGCCAATGGTATGCTACAAAGTTGAGAAAAGTGAGGGAAGGGATAGATAGGGGAGAGATGGGTGAGAATGTTGAAAGGGGTGACTTTAATCAAGATATACTGTGTTAATAAACTACTCTGTTAAATGGCAGTTCCTTTGTTTCCTTCTGGAATAGGACTACATTCAAACTAATATAATACTTTAAGATAGTAGATATGAATAACAGCATTGTAATCTTGTGACATACTAGCCTGTTAAATATGTAAAACTAAAACCAAGGAAGAATTTAATAAATTCGAGTTATTTAAAATATGAGTTTATTTTTAATACAAAGTCAGATTTTAAAAACTATACAGCAAAAGCAGGAAGACACTTTACATACTCATGATCAGCTACAATATTTCTTTAGACTGTCCACACTGAAAATATTTACATTTACTAATAAGGGATGCCAAGTGTATCCATCAGCATTTGAATAGCTTGCAGGGAATTTTTCACTTCATCCACATTGTCTCTTCTCAAAACCCAAGCTGGTTCCAGCCTGTTTTAAAAATGGACGTCCGATTAGTAAAAGTTTTCTCTTAACCTGTGACTCTTCTGAAAACATCCTATTCCTTCCTTCCTTCCTTCCTTCCTTCCTTCCTTCCTTCCTTCCTGCCTGCCTGCCTGCCTGCCTGCCTGCCTCCCCTTCCTCCTTCCTTCTTTCCTTCCTCTTTCCTTCTTCCTTACCTACCTCTCTTCCTAAGGTATGAGAATGTTACAGCCCTGCTCCTTTTTAGTATTAAGACTCTTCTAATGACATTGTCTTCTTCAAAGCTTATGTTTTTACCACTGCCTTTTGTCATCTGCCAAACACAATTTCTTTTCTGTTCTTGGCCTTTGCTCCATTGCTATCTCCATTCTCAGTAAAGTCAACATTCCTTTGGCCTACGGGCCAACAGGAAGTGGAATGTGTCAGTTCTCCCTCCATTCCTCCTCATCCAATCCTTTCTCACATGGCCTTTGTGGGACATTGTCTCACTAGACACTGTCTTGATCAGAAAGCATATTGCCACTGAAAGAGGTTTGTTCTCCACTTCTCAGTCACTTGTGTCACCTGCATTCGCAAGGACACTGATCTAATTCCTTCACTCCAGAGACCTCCAGTTCACTCAGCCTCAACAGGTCATCCATCGTCCTTCTCACTTCCTCCTTCATCAACTTAGCTCACCAATGTCTTCCCCCTCTGCAGATGCCATTAACTCCACTTATCCCTCCTACTAAAGTCATCTGCAAATTGAATAAAAACACCTGCTTTCTCCATCCCTGCACAGATGAATACCACTCAGTTACAACTACACAACTAGTCTGGAATGTTGCTTTGCCATTTGCAGGCCTAAAAGGGGGCATTTGAAATCACCTCAGGTGCTCCTTTTCTCTCCAGGATACCCATTTTAATCCCGTTTCTCTTTCAAACATCCCCTCCACTTCTGTTAAGCTACTTCTGAAGATGCTGGATTTATAATCTCCTGCTTCACTGAGAAATGTATCATTCAGAGGAAGTTTGGGTATCTTCTCATATAAATTCCTCCTACATACATTTCTTGACTGCTAAACCAAACATCAATGAGTGGACAAAGTCTGTTGTGAGCATACAACAGCAGAGTACTGAGTGGAGTCGTCAATGCTGACCATTTCCCAAACCAGTGAAACACCAGTGTGCTGTACTAGCCTGGCTCTTCTGCTCAGCAGGGTTCTGCTCTTCCCAAGGTGCACTTGTACTTTCCTCATTTCTGTCGTATTTCCCAGGCTTTTCCAAAACAAAACATGTGAGTCACCATTTCCCCCACTCTATCTTCAGCTTTAACTTCACTTGTCATCGCTCAGGACCCTGCTATTGCATACCAGAGGTGATTTCCAGTCAGTCTCCTTCAGAACTCTGTTCTACACTCTATCTGAGCAAAGTTGTCAGGCTTGTGTGAAGCTGTTACAGCAGCCTACAATAACTAACGTAAGGAGTATTGTAGGAGGACTAGAAACTGACATCTTGGCTAAGAGATATAGCATTTCTGAAAGCCATTAAAAAGTAGACACTAATATTACTGTGGAAAACAAAAATGATATGCCAAAATTACAATAGTCACCTTGGTGTTACCAAATACCCAAAGTTCGAGTAGTATTACTTCATTATCTCCTTTAGGGTTACCAAAAACACCACCCCGGTTCTATGCTGTTTCTCCACTGTCAAGAATATTACCATGTTCAGGCAAGGTAGTTCATTTCTATAGTCCTACTTACTCAGGAGGTCCTCTGCTCAAGAAAAGTCAGGGTAAAAAGTTAACAATCTCAACAAAAACAAATTGGGCGTGATGGCATATAACTAGACTCCCAGCTACACCAAGGTAAAAGGAGATCTACTTGGACAAAAATGGGAAGACTTTGAGAAAATAACCACAGGCAAAAAGGACTGGGAAATTGGCTCAAATGGTAGAGCACTCAAAGTCTTAAAAATCAACCCCTAGTACCACCCCCCAAAATCCCTCACTTATGGTAAGCAGTAAGACAAAGTAGTGGTGACAAAGCATTAGACTGCTTACCTGGAGACTATCCTGGTCCTCATGGGTGTTTCTGGAAGTAAGGGCATGCAGACAGAAGCACTTTTCTTTTGTTTACCGGGTATTCTCTCTATATTCATCTTATGCTTACGAGCAGTGAGTTTGTAGATACTATAAATACAGTCAACAACTTTGGCTCTAATTCTTACATCCTAAAAGAGAAAAGATACATTTATTAAAACCTAAAATTACATTTTTCTCTATCTTCCTAGAATAGCAAAATCAATTATCATCACCAATATACAGTAAGTTCTTGAGCTTTAACAATCAAGAGCAAAGCACTCTAACTTCGGCAGGTGGATTAATTTAAATTATGAACAAATTTTACAAAAGTCAATTATAAGAAAGACAAATATCCCAAAGTTATACCTGACTCCAGATTGAGCACAGAAGGGACATGCAATCAAGTAAACCAGTCGTTTGAACCTGACCTCCTTCTCAAAGCTCATAACCTCCCTAGCTAGGTAAACACAACCTCTTGAGCAGGCCACCACAAATGTACCCTTTCACCATCCTGAGATAGGCCCTCCTGAATCCATTCCCCATTCAGTAGCCAGGGTGATGTTATAGTTTACACAGATGAAACCACTCTTGGGTTAAAATTCTTTCATTGTTTCCACTGTTACCAAAACCAAGGCAACAATCTGAACAATCTAGTCCCAGGTTATGGTTACTCCAAGTTCATTGTTACAACTGGGGACAAAGGCAAAGGCCACAGAAAAATCTTGAAATACTTACGATTGCAAAAGGAGGACAGAGAAATGTGTGTATGTACACATATACTGACAAAAAAGAAAAACAAAAAACATAACTGATGAATACTTACAGAGGCTCGATTTCTTGCCTTCAACAAGACAGCCAACAAACAACAAGTTTTTGTAAAAATGCTGCCACTCTTGTCTGCCACTTTATCACCAGGCTTCTCTCGGTACATCTGCAAAAGCTCCAAGAGCGTGTCCACACAATTTTCTACCTCGTAAACTGCTGAAGTCGTCTTCTCGTACTTGAAGAGAAGAGACTCTAATTAGAAGTAATAATAAAAACATTTTTTTAAACAGACCAGCCAGCAAGAAAGTTCAGGGCCAACCTTTGTTTCCAATGCTGAGTCTGCTTCTATGCATATTTGCCTCTTCACCTTTTCTTTCCCTTCTACCTCCCAGTCCCACAATCAATACACACATGCATACATAACTCAAATCTGAAATCACAAAGGACATCTCGAAATAAATAAAAGCAAGGTGCTCAATATGAGGCCATTTTAGTAAATAAATCTCTGAGGACAAAGGTAAATTTTCTGGAATAACTGTAGTTTAAGATAACAAATAAAAGGAAGACCTAATTTAGGTCAACTGCTTGCTTCTTGACAGAAAAATGAGCTTGCTGTCAAATAAAACAGTAATTTTGAGTCTCCAATATGGTTTTGAATAACTCATTTATTCACTTGGATCAGTAGATTTACACTGAAATTTGCATGATAACAATTTTTGTTATGGCAAAAATTTCAAAAAATCAGTAACTAACCTTATAATGAATATTTATAGAAGCATTTCAGACCTAACTCATTTAATCTAGACAATAGCATCAAGACAGATATACTGCTACTATTTTGACAGTTGAGGAAAGTAATGCACAATGAGACAGACCTATGACCAGCAGATCTGGGATTCAAATCCAAGTCTTTGGCATTGGTTTTGAGTTCTTGGTGACTACTTCTCAATATAAAAATACCAGGTCAATGTGGTTTTAAGTGTGTAGGAAACTAAATCTTCTATCCCAGTGCCTTGGATTGCACTCAGCTTCTAGAAGTAGTAGTATCCCTTCTCTATAAAATGGATTAGGAATTACTTTAGAGGAACATTAACTGGATTAAATTAAATAATGAGTGAAGATATCTGCATGTAGACATGAAAAATAAACGTTCATTACTAGTAATATAATAAAGACAAAACTAAACTGTACAAATACTACTGTTTCCACATAGAGCTATGCTAACAGAGTAAGCATTGTTCCTCACTGGGACTCATGAGCGTAGATGATCAATTTTTTGAATAATAAGTATTTCATTGCTAACATTGACACCTACCTTAGCAACATGAAGTAAGACTTGAATGGCATATCTGATGACTTCCATACATGGAACACTACGATTACAACTTCGGATTAAAACAAATATTTTAGACACTGCTCCACCATTTGCCATGTTCTCACAACAAAGTGGAGACAATCTAGTCACTACCTCTGAAAGGGAATGAGAAAAAACCACAATAAAAAAATGAGTAAATCCATGCCAGGCACCGCTGGCTCATACCTGTAATCCTAGCCACACAGGAGGCAGCTGTATGAAGCAAGCCTGGACAAGAAATACAAAGAGACTCTTATTTCCAGTTAACCACCAAAAAGCTGGAAGTAGACCTGTGGTTCAGGACACACACACACGCAAGCACACACGCACGCACGCAAACTCAGCACTCCTCATTTTAAACAAGATGTGATTATGACAAACTCACCCAGGTGCTTTAAAGCCTCAAGAATGACAGAAAGGTGCTTTGATGTGGAAAGATAGTGAAGAGCCAGAGCAGTTCTTTTGTAGAGCTTGTCTTCTTCTCGAATCTCCTGGTTGACGGCTTGAAGACTCAATCGTATAGCTTTAATTTTCTTACAATCACTTTTTTTCCTCAAAGAGTAACCTCTCCATAATGCCTTCGAAAATAAAGCCAAATGGCTTCATTACAGCCAGTAACATTTTCACAATTAACACAATGTAAATAATTTTTCCTCAAATTCATATAATACACCAGAACCATTACAATTAAAACATTAGTATGGCTCTAATGTTATACTAAAACTACAGAATTTTCACTTACCTGAATCTTGATGATTCTACTATTCAATTTTTCCTTTCTTTTGCAAAGAAGAAATTGGCGCACTGCTTTCTGTATTACCGATGCAGCTCTGTTTTGGTGTCTCAGACGTTCCTGAACTTCATGCTCAATTTCAATCAACCTTTTCTGTTGCATTTTTTTTCGAAACCATCTCTGTTTAAAACATAGGAATGTTTTTTTCCCCTCATTTTTACGTCAGGTTTTTTAATTGTACAAACACATGCACACACACTTGCACACATACAAACATGATAGGTAAAGAATGGCAAATACTTCCTGATCCATCTTGGTGACAATCCCTCAGTCCCACTTGGTGCAAACCTTCCCAAGCCTGTGTTGGATGTACAGTCCTGCCTTTATTTTACAACTTATGTAAAACTTCTATCAAACTGCATTGCTTTGCAATTTGTGTTTTCCAGCCAGTACTTCATATGTAAATATGCTAATATATACAAATAAGATTCTTCTCCAGGATTTACAATGATTATCAATCATACTAGAAAAGGACATCAGATACAAAAATGGGAAAAGTATATTAAAAAAAATTTGTTTTGGTTGGTTGTGGGGCTTGAACTCAGGACTTGGCCATTGTCCCTCAGCTTTTCAGCTCAACGTTAGAGCTCTACCACTTAAGCCACAGTGCCACTCCCAAAAAACATTTTTAAAAGTACACAACAAGAATAAGAACTTTGAGGGGGCTGGAAAGGTAGCTCAGTGGTAGAGCGCTTGCCTTGCATGCCTGAGGTCCTGGGTTCGATTCCTCAGTACCACATAAGTAAAAAGAAAAAAAAAGGTGGAAGTGGTGCTGTGGCTCAAGTGGTAGAGCACTAGCCTTGAGCTGAAGAGCTGAGGGACAGCGCCCAGGCCCAGAGTTCAGGCCCTACAACCGGACCCCCCCCCAAAAAAAAAAAAGAATAAGAACTTTGATGACTAACAAATGTAAAAAATATTTTAGAACTGTTAGCAATCAAATAAACCCAAAACAAAAACAAGAGAATCATTCCAACTCATTTCAATGGCAAAACAATCAGGATGTCTTTGGAGGCCACTGTTGGCCAGGATGGAGGAACAGAGGCTCCCAGACTTTAGCAGCAGGCAAGTAAATGAGCATGATTACATCCCAGAATAATTCAAAACTTTATTTCTATGACATAAAATATCAACCAATTTCTAACCCTCAAATCATGCTGGTAGTTACACAATGACAGCCTAATATATGGCCACAGAATAAGACATTTGAAAGTGGTCAATTATCCTAATTTTTCAACAAAAATATTTTATCTTACAGTTTTACTGCAGAGGAAAAGCTAACCTGAATACAGATGACTGAATCCACATGCGTCTCGGCACTCCTCACAGCCCTGTAACGTCTATAAGCTCTCTGAATTCTAAGGGCAGACAGGTGGAAAAATGCAGCTGCAGTGAAGGGAAGGAGGCGAATTCGAGCCTTCTGTTCTATACTCTAGAGAAGAGAGAATTAAAAAGTACCATATTAGTAATCGCATATCTAAAAAAAAATCAGTGTTTATTTTGTAGAAATGAATTAACTATTACAATTATTTGCATTTTAATCTAAAGTACCTATAATTATTTATTATACAATATTTCTAATAGTGTTAACTCGTAAGTCAGGGTACAGAAGCAAAATTATATTTTGGACCCTACCCTAAAGAGAAACAGCATTTAGATTAAGTGGACTACACAATTAACAACTAGGTGAGCTGGAGAATGGTGTGTTTCACAGATATGAAAAGGTGATAAAGCAATTATTTCTAAACCCATGCACAAACTCCCGCCAAAACTGAGCACCAGGCTCAACAGATAACTGTTGGTCTCTTCCCTCTTGATTCTTTTCATTGTGGGGGAAAACAGACCCACAGCACCCTCGCTAGATATGAGAAGTAGAGTGGCCATATTAAAGCTTCTAGCAGCTCTGAGAACCACACACTGGAGCAAAAGCATGCCCTAGGCTGCCCAGAGAAATAGCTGCCCAAGGGTACCAATTAAAATGGCCTTAATTAAGTCAAGGTACGCGTGTTTTACAAACTTCCACCTACAAATGGAAGGACCTTGGACCCATCACTTCTGTAAATGCTTCCTATCCTTCATCGTGAGCAACTACTTCATACGATTGCTATCAAATGCTGGTCTATGTTAAGTGCCAGTAGTAAGAGTAATAATTGTGGTTCTATATAGTGATAGCAAATATTAGATCAACACTGAAATTTGTAAGTAAAATTTTAATTTAATAAAAATTAGGTATCGTATTTATTCTACAACTTTATATGAAAAATTTTAAACATCTAAAGAACATGTTATTACATTATACTATCTTCTACTCATTACAATTTTCTCCAGACTGTTTATTTTCACTGAAGTCATCTCAAACTTTAAAGAATATTATATGTGTGTGTGTGTGTGTGTGTACACATACTCGGAAAAAAACACTAAGAAATGGCATTTTTACAGAGGAATATAATTTTTAATTGACTGCAATAGAAGTCTGTAAGACCAATGCCCATTTGGGTTTTGAGAATATTTGTTTTCTGTTTCCTGTATAAATGAGTTTTTATTTCACCTACTTTTCCTGTGATTTGTTCACGAGTGACTCTTCCAGAAAGCACTGCTCTCCATTTTCTCTGTATGATAACTACTGATACTCTCATCTTCAAAAACCTAAAAAGTAGTTGTTAGAAAGAAATCTCAAAATACTAATCTATTCAATAAATGTTTATTGCTGCCCACACCTTTAAGTACTGAGAAAATATAAGAAAAACATTGACATTATAAAAACAAGTGAAAAACATATAATCCATACTTTCGTTCCTGCAGTCAGAATTGTACACACATACAGGGGCCAGGAGAGGGGAGAGGAGAGAGAGGAGAGGAGAGGGAAGGAGAAAGGGGCAGGGGAGAAGGAAGAAAAAGAGGAGGAACTGTTTATCAATTGATAACACTCATTGAGTAAAAATGTGGCATGAGAAATAATTCTGAACAAGATCAATAGAAAGTAATGAGAGGGGTCCAAAGAAAATCCTAGATAAAAGGGTGCAAGTTTAAATAGAAAATGAAAGCTGAGTTTCAGAGAAGACATGATTGTTAAGAAGACAGCATCAAATCCAAAAGGGACATTCATATGAAAATAGTGCATTTTAATATGTCCTTGGGTATTGAAGAAAAAATCCAAAATATGAGCTTCTTTTATTACCATGTTTTTTAGAAAATAAGGCTCAGCATCACTGAGAAAAAGCCACTATTTGGTCCAGAAAAACAAGATAGAAGTCATTAACAAGGACAGTAAGAACTGTAATCTATAATTAAGCCCCACATGGAATTGGTCCAGGAGTTCCTCAAACTGTGATATGCCCTCCTAAAAAGGACTTCAAAACAAGCACTGATGCAATAATTCTGAGTTATGCAGACAAGGGGGGTAATTACAGTCATCATCAGTAAGGATAAAGAGTATAGAGAAGGGCCAGGCATGAAGGTGTGGACCTTTAATCACTGCAATGGGAAGAGAAGCTAAGAAACCATGAGTTCAACACCAGCCTGGCCTACACACAGGAAACCCTTGTCTCAAAAACGAAACCCAAGGAATGAGGATATAGCTCAGTAATTTAGTACCAGCCGAGTATGTACACCAAGCTAGGTTTGATCCTCAGCACCATACAGAAGAGTATGGAGAATACAGAATTAAAAAAAAAAAAGTATAAAAAGAAATTTTCCCAGAAGTTAATTTTAAAAAATGGTTGAATAGGGGCTGGGAAGGTGGCTCAGTGGTAGAGCGCTTGCCTTGCATGCTCAAGACCCTGGGTTCGATTCCTCAGCACCACATAAGCAAACAGAAAAAAAGCCGGAAGTGGCGCTGTGGCTCAAGTGGTAGAGCGCTAGCCTTGAGCTGAAGAGCTGAGGGACAGCGCCCAGGCCCAGAGTTCAGGCCCCATGACCGGACCCAAAAAAAAAAAAAATGGTTGAATGCACTAGTAAGGAATCAGGAAAAAAACATTTTATTCACTTCCTGCTTTCATCTTTTCCTGAAATCCTACGCACTTGAATTAAACACGAACTAAATTGTAGTATCAAACCTATGCTGCATCTCTAAAGCATTAGAAAAGCCCAAGGAATATACTAGTTTTCCAATAAAGAAAACACCCCCACCACACACACACACAGAGGGAAGAAAAAAAAACAAAACATGATCTAAGCATTGCAAATATTTAAGAGAAAAACCCACCCACTACTATTTGCACTAGGACTTGGCTACTGCACATGGCTGTGATACATTACCGGGTCCTCTCCTGCTTGGCGTGGAAGTAACGCTGAACAATTTTAACAGCGTTTAATATGGCTAAATATTCTCTGCGTGCTCTCCAACCCCTATACCAGGCTTGAATCTTGCAGGTGGCATTCACTTCATGTACGTATTTCTTGGCTTTGTATCTTCTCCATGCAGCCTATTAAACACATCAATACAACAAGGATGAAATATCTGTCCATCTCTCTGAGAACAAGGCACTTGCTGTTGTGAACACCTACTATGTGCTTTATCACACAGGCCCTGAAGCTGGCTGCTAGCCCACCCTAGCAGGGGCCAGTTATGTGTGATTCAAGTCTTTGCCTCAACCCACCACTGAGAAACGGAAAAGAAATGAACACATCCCCTAGCCCATCTCTCCGGAGAAAGGACAAAGTGGAACCAGATCCCACTCTGTACATGCTCTGTTGTGTTTGGCCTGCCGCAGACTCCTAAAAGCTCCTTCTGACCATCCAATTTTGGTAGACCTGTGGCTAACTAAAACTATCAGCTACAAATTACTGAAGTAAGCACCAAAACTATAAGTGAAAAACTAGGAATAATAAGAGAAGTAGCAGCCTTTTCTCTAACTTAGGGATGGGGAAATCAAGAACCTAGAGAAATCAAGTTAATGTCACACAGGAAAATACAGTAGGGGAGCTATCCTGGTGAATATTTGGAAAGATCTTGTGGAAAGATGATGGAGCTCTCTTATTAGTGTTCCTCATACTAATTATGGGGGGAGGGGGAGAGGCAGGAGCTGCCACTGGTACTGTTGGAAACTGCAGGTGATCTCAGCAGTGGAGACAACCGTTATAAGCAAAAAGGCCCCTGTGTGAAATACAATTTTATAATTTAATTCCGTAAGAAAACTGATTTTTCTCCCTAGGATGGTTATTTTGGCCCCTCGTGCATCTAACATCTTGGTCCACCTCTCCATCCTGCACATTTGGAACTGGAGTATTCTCTCCTTTGTCTCTCAACCCTTGGCTTCTGAACACCATAATCTTTTAAGTTTTCTTCTTTCCCTCTTATTAACATTTTTTGGCTGCTTCTCCAAATATCCTTAATTTTTATATTCTGTCCAAAGCTTTGTCCTTCTTAAACTTTTATAACTTGTCTTAATCTGGAAGATAAAAGCTCAGTGTTTTATTTTTATAACCCAAGGCTATCCATAATTTTACTTCCGCTATGGCAAGCCCAGGTTTTTAATCACTATTTGTTGTCCTCTCTGTTCCTCGTCTCCCTCCACCCCACCACCCCACATTACCTCCTCCATCTGGAATGATCTCTCCAAACACTTTGTTTATAAGACTATTTCTAATGCATCCTTTAGCCTAACATTTCAATTTAAATGGCATCCACTCCAGGAAGCTTTTCCTGGCCAGAAATAACTTCAGCCTGTTTCCAGCAACATATACTTCTCATTAAAATTGTCCTTTCTTGTTCACTTCAGTTCTCACTCAGCCTCACACTCAGGACAGATGCATCACTTTACCAGCACTAGCATCTTGAATGAAAACCTAAGCTCAGCATTAGGAAGATAGCAAAGTAATACCTGTAGGCTGAAATCTGAGCAGGCAGAACAGAAACAGATTAGATCTCAGGTTCATTTCTTGGATTCATTTCATTCTTCCTGAACACCTACCAATTAATTTCCCCTTTCTCAGTTCTCTATTTTAAAAGAGAGGTAATACCCCACATTTTTCACACCCTGAGAAGTTGATTAAACAAAATAAGTGCTTCAAAGCCAAAAGTGCTAAGCCTTGAATAAAGTCTAGCTATCGTAGTAGGTTGGGTTTAGAGATCAGTAGAGGAATGTTATCCTGTTTGACGTGTACTGTAAAAATAACATTTCATCTTCAATTTTTTCACATTAAAAATAAGAAACATTCTTCCAGCAGGGCTGTAATGAGAACCAGCCAAGCGAAGCATCGGGAAAGTCCCAGAGGATTCCAGTTATGATGTCACAGCTCAGTTATTACCAGTGTTGCTTCCCATTAGCAAGTACTCCACACTCCACTTCAAAATAACCAGACTGTTATTCTTCATGACCTCAAGTTCATTCATCGTCAACTAACAGACCTAAAAGGTATCTCTATAAGTTAAATATACAAATACCTGAATTTTTATGGCACTAGTTTTAATTTTCTGAAACTTCCTTTTCTGTATGAATCTTCTCATTCCAGCTTGAATCATGATAACACGGCTCCTGGTTTGTAAATAAACTTGTCTTTGGTGTTTTGTAGACAGAAAGGCTCTGTAGTGGTTCTGTAAAACCAACACAGCTTTCCTATATAGTAAAAACTGTTTTCTGGTTTTCCAGGTCCTGAAACACTGTTGTAAGGTGACAGCAGCTCTCCTCTGTCGAAGAAAACTTGTGCGATGAACAGCCATGTGCAGGAAGGACTGAATCCGTAGGGCCGCACGCTCCTGTGCTTGTAGGTCAGGACAAGGGCTCTGCATGGGCACAGTGGCCCTCTCAGATGGATACTCTGTTTCCTGTGAACAAGCAAATCAACGGTGTTGCACACCCGTCTTCTAACTGTAACTAACAGCCCCACTTTGAACAGCCTCACCTGAGTTTTAATTCTGTAATAATGAAGTGTAGTGTAGAGTGGTTATTAAGTTTTTTGTTTTGTGCCCATATTGGGGCCTGGGCACTGACTCTTAGCTTTTACTAAGCCTAGTGCTCTGCCACTTGTGCCAGTTCACTTCTGTGTATGTGCGTGTGTGGTTAATTGCACTTTTCTGCCCACATTGCTCAGATCTCAGCCTCCTGAGTAGCTAGGATTACAGGCATAGGCAACTCCTCAGTTTGAGTTCTAATTCTGTTACAGCTGAGTATAGTCAGCTAACAGGGACACATCATTTCTTGAGACATCTATTTTTTGGCTTCTGCCTAAATGTTATGCATCTTTTTAAAAGTAGCTTGAATACTTTGTGCAGATTTCTGAACTGTTAATTTTTCTTGTCATTTTTACTCTGACATACAGTATAGACTTTATGTCAGGGTTTGTTGTTTGTTTTTAAAACCGGATAAACAACTCAATCTTGTGAACCAGGTATAATGAATGGCTTGGCAGCCAGGTGGCTGTGACGATGTCCCTTCTTACCTTAAATCCTCGGTAAGGCAAGTCTACTGAGGCAGCGGCTTGGGAGTATGCTGCAGCTGATGCTCTGTATCTTCTCTGGACAGAAATGACGGCAGCTCTCAGGCAAAGATAACGTCTTCTGGTTTTACAGGCTTTGAAATACTTCTGAATAACAACGGCAGCCTCATGTTCTTTCTCAGCCTGTTTCCTTCTGGTCATGTCTTGAAAACTGGCATCAGTGCAACTTGCCTGGAACTGAAGAGCTTTCTGTTTTTTACTTGTCCTATAATGTTCTTGTATTACTCTTGTAGCCCACTGAACTTTCTGGTAGAAACAATACTGCTTAGACATTCGATATGTGCTTTGTATGATGACAGCAGCCCTGTATTTTTTCCTTAGAAGCTGTCTTGCTTTCATTCCTCTATAAGCAGCTTGAATGACCACAGCGGAATGCCATCGTCTAGTAAAATTCTCTCTTTGCAATTTGGCAGCTCGGTATGTTCGGTAATGTTGTTGAATTAGAATCGAGGCACGTTTCCACTGCTGAAATATCACGTACGTTGTGTGCATTCTAAAAGTGGCCTGAATGAGAAGTGCAGCCCTGTGCATGTTTTGTAACTTCTTCTTCACCATCAATCTCCGGTAAGATGACTGGATGCTAATGGCTGCCTTTCGTAACTCCAAGAATTGGTGCCTCTTGCATCTGGCATAAATGGTGGCTCGGTATTTCCTCTGAACAAAAACAGCAGCTCTCTTGAGAGAAATGAATCTCCTCCTCATCACAAAGGATCTGAATCTACTCTGAATAAGTGTTGCAGACAAATGCATTTCTTTCACATGCCTCCTGGCTTTCATTGCCCTGAAGGCAGCCTGGAGAATCACAGCAGACCTTCTTAGTGTGATGAAACGCTGTCTCTGCCTCTTTGCAGCTCTGTTTGCCCGGTGTTGCTTCTGGATCACAGCTGAGGCCTGTTTCAAGGCCCGGTATCTCACACATGCTCTGTGCATCCTGAAAGCAGCCTGGATGCACGTAGCAGCCTTGTGCATCTCTCTCACCTTCTTTCTTACAATCCACCCTCTATAGGATGACTGGATTTGAATAACTGCCCTTCGCACCAGCAGAAATTGTTGTAACTGATACCTGGCCAAGAGCTTTGCGCGGTATTTTCTTTGAACCCAAATCACAGTTTTCTGGAGACAGAGGAATTTTCTTCTCACCATCAGAGTTCTAAATGTCCTCTGAATAAGAGTGGCAGCCGAATGCATAGCTTTTACATATCTCCTGACCATCATTCCCCTGCCAGCAGCCTGCAGGAGAACCACAGAACGTCGCAGCCTGCTATACCTCTGAAACTGTCTCCTTCCTTCCTTCACTGCTCGGTATCTCTGCTGCACTGTCTGTGTCACTTTCTTTAACTTGGTGTAGTACATTTGCTGCCTGTATCTTCTATAGTGGGACTGAATCAGTGTGGCTGCCACCTGCCTCTTTCTCATAGCCTGTCTGACTCTAGCTCCTCTAAACCTTGCCTGAAGAATACCAATGGCCTTCAAAACCCTAAGGTACTTTGCACGCTGAGTTTTACCTTCATGATAGGCTCTGAACCTTACTTGAATTATAACAGCTGCTCTTCTCATTGCGTGGTATCGTGACCTTGACTGATGCATTTTAAACATCGCTTGAATACAAGTGGCAGACCTGTGCATGTGTTGAATTTGCTGCCTTACCCTAGTGCCCCTGTAAACAGCCTGGATTTTCATCGCTGTTTTCTTTAAATTAAGATATCCCTTTCGTTGCTGGTTTGCAATTTTAATGTTTCGATACCATCTCTGAATGACAACAGCAGCACTTCTGTAAGTGATGTATTTCTTCTGGGCTTTGTAAGCTCTGTATTTAGACTGTATAGTGATTGCTGCTCTGTTCCAATCTTTTATTCTTTTTCTCACTTCCGCCCCACGGTAAGCGGACTGCAAAGTTACAGCAGCTGCTTTTGTCTTCAAATATAAGCGATGCTGCTCTTTTCCAAGACGGTAAGCCCGGTAACATGTTTGAATCAGTAGAGCAGCTTTCCTGATCGTTTTCCACCGGCTGTGTTGAGCGTGCATTCTGTAGCAGGACTGTATGAGGATGGCACAGGTGTGCCACCGCTGGACCTCACTCCTCAGTGCCCACCCTCTCCATGCAGCCTGGAGCACGAGCACGGCACGGCGGAGTTCAACATAGGCCCTACGCTGCTGCCTTCCAGCCCGCCATGCTCGCAGGTGCTGCTGGATGACCACAGCTGCCCTTTTCCAGGATTTAAACTGCCTCTGGGCCTGGATCATTCGAAACCCAGACTGGATCTTCACTGCTGCTTGATGTTCCTTTCTGATCTGCTTCCGAACTCTCCAGCCCCGATAGCCAGATTGGAGAGCAATCGCAGCCACTCTTGTCTTTAAAAACCATGTTCTTAAATCCCGAGCGGCCTTACATGCCCTGTGCCACCTCTGAATCTTGACAGCAGACTGCAGCACCAATTGATATTTCACCCTTTTGCTATAGCCTCTAAAAGCAGTTTGAATTTTAACAGCTGCGATAGATTGCTGTTTGATGAGCTGGCGAGCTCGGTAACCTCTGTAGGCTGCTTGCAAACAGACAGCTGCTCTTCTGACTCGCAAGAACTTCTTCCTCTGGTTGACTTGTGCCCTGTAGGCACGATAGCGAATCTGGAGGAGCAGAACCGCGCTGTAGGTGCACAGGTAGCACTGCCTCATCCTTCTCATTCTGAAGTAAGACTGCAGTACAACCACTGCTTTTCTCTGCATCCTCATCTGTTTTCGGGCCAGCCATCCTCTACATAAAGCTTGCAGTTTGACACAAGACTCACGTACCTGTAAATATTCCTTTCTCCTGCACGCAGCCAGTCTTTTGGACCTGTACCGTCGCTGGATAGACAGGGCAGCTGCTTTTATCTGTGCATAGCGTCCGCGTGCTTGCTTCATCCTGACAATAGACTGCAACTTTATGGTAGTATTTCTTAGGATCAGAAATTTCTTTCTTGAAATATAAGCACGAAAATATGACTGAATCTTTATGACAGATTTGCGGATATAAAGAAATGCATTCCTAGCTTGCAGCGCTCTGTAGGTAGACTGTAGAACAATGACAGCAGATCGTGTTTTTTGGTAAGATACTCGAACTCTCCTGGCTGAAACGCAAGCTTGGAAATGAGTCTGAATTATGATAGCGGCTCTCTTCATCTTCTTGTATTTCTGTAATTGCTGATTTCTTCTTACACATGCCTGCAATTTGATAACCATCTGCCTAAAGCTTAAAAAACAAAGTCTGTCCTGTCTCATTCTCCAATATGACTGCAACACACAAGCAGCTCTAACTTGCCTGTGCAAATGACGAGCTTTCATTCTCCTGAAAGCAGACTGCAGTCGAATGGCCGCAGCTTGCTTTTGTAAGTAGCTGGTGCGTTCAGCCTTTCCCTTCAGATAGGCTCTGAAGTATTTCTGCAGAGTCAGGGCGGATGCTTTCTTTCTTTTATATAACTTTTGGGCTTGAAAGCACCGAAATGTTCTTTGAATGACAACAATGCAAGATCTAGTATAAGCATATTTCTGTAATTGCCTGTGCATTCTGTACCATGATTGTATGATGATGGCAGACTTCTCCCTGGCTTGCTTCCGGACATGCCATTTTCTAACAGCTCTTTGCAGTATTATTGCAGCTTTTACTTGTTGTTGAACTTTACGTCGCTTCCATCTTCGAAACATGGACTGGATTACAAGGGTCGCAGATTTCAGCATTTTATATCTTTGTTGATCTCTTCTTCTTTGAACACAAGCACACCAATGCCTCTGTATTGTAACTATGGCCCAGCGTTTTCTTTTATAAGATGTAACAGCAATTATCATTCGTATCCTGGATTGCAGGAAGACTGAATAATACTTCAAACTCAAAAATCTTTTTCTAGTGGAATATCTTCTCCAATATGCCTGGGAAATGTAAGAAAGGACATAAAATATTTAAAAATACTTTAGAAAGAATTTTCTGACATTCTCCCTAAAAAGTAACACAAGGAATTTAAAGACCAATGCATGTTTACACACTACTCCTCTGGAGTTTGTAGGTTTATTTTTACATTGACTTATGTGTAGACTATTCAGAAATCCATCTCAATCTTAATTATATTGACAATGTAATTGTATCAGTCTTAAGACATAAAAGAACTTATGTTGAAATAGAAGAAAAACATCAAGTCTTTTTGATTGCCTATTGTTCTAAGTAATTTTCTAGGAGTTTCTAGATCTTCTATAGTCCCCTTTCTTCACAGTGCTAAGCCATCTTGTAACAATTAAGAACAGTTAATGTGTGGCATAGTCTCAACTCTACAGGTCTGGTAATGCAAATACAGCTGGCTCTCTGCATCCATTGTTCTTTACCTATCAATTCCAACAAGAATAGAAAAGGAGCTGGGTGCCGGTGGCTCACACCTGTCATCCTAGCTAATAAGGAGGTGAGATCTGACGATCACGGTTCAAAGCCAGCCCAGGCAGGAAAGTCCATGAGACTCTTATCTCCAATAAACCACCAGAAAATTGGAAGTGGTGCTGTGGCTCAAGTGGTAGAGTGCTAGCCTTGAGCTGAAGAGCTGAGGGACAGCAGCCAGGCCGACAGTTCAAGCCCCATGACCCTCCCCCCCAAAAAAGATAGAAAAGGTTTCAAAAGAAGAAAACATTGTCTGTTCTGAACATAAACTTTTTGGGGGCAGGGGAAAGGGAGGGAGGCAGTAAAATAACAACCCCTTTTTATTTCCTGCTGGTCTTTTTGTTAGCATATCTTGCTCATAAACACATTCTAACCATACCACAACATAAACTCTTTGGTCATTATGCCCTAACAATCAAACATAACTATGTACATAGTACTCACATGACATTATGTAATCTACAATTAAGTATAGGATTAAATAGGTTGTGCATGTGCATAGGTTTGATGAAAAATAAGTATGCTACATGTGATTTTCTATTTTTGAAGACATGCAGATTTTGATACCTTCTGGGGTATACAAACAATTTTATCATGGCTCGATAGGGATGACCACAGAAGAGTTTGAGAAATACCTGAGCTTGATCACTTTCAGAGTTTTTTTTTTTAATTACAACTTGCTTCCTTTTGCCAAAGTTAGAACTATATATGTACAATTTTTTTATTAAGACTTATTTTCTTTTGCCAAATTTAGAACTATAGATGTACAATTAGGAAGTAGAATTGTTTTGGAAAGCTACAGTTAGAAGGTAAACTCTTCAAATTCAACAACCTGGGCTGGCAGGTCCTGAGCTAATGCCAGTTGCTGGTATCTACTGGGCTGCTGGCAACCAAACTCTAAATATTCTCATTGTAACCTTGTCTAAAACATCACAAACTTCACTGACATCTGCGGGCGAGTGTTGTGTTGGTCTTATTTCTTTCACAAGGAAGTGTAGCAATAAGCGCTGGATACCTCATGGGCCTAAAGCACTGATGGGAATACAGGAGTGCTGGGCCTGGGCACACCAATCCTAGGGTGAGCAGAACTGAGAGGAGCCTATGCCTGCTGAGGGAAGGGAGGAGCAGGGCAGACCCTATAAGCTTGACCACCTTCTATCACAAAGGCTCTGCTCTACTCTTCATCCTGATGAGAAGTAATGTATACATATCACTGGTTCTCTTTCTATGAAGGAACATAGGGTAACAACATATACTCAATAGTTAAAAATTACCTGTGAAAAATGAATTTGAAAACTGTAAGCTCTTTTACAAATATAAGTTGATTATCAAAACTGCCAGAAAAGAAATAAGGCAAAGTATGGCAAAAACAGTGCTCAGAGCTGCAGAGCACTATCTATTCAGCTTTCCTCCTTCTCCTGACAAAATAGTTATATGAAAATGTCAAATCTTCCAATTGAGAATACAGAGTCTGAGGATAAAGTGGCCTGATTTATACTCTCTTCTAAAGCATTATGACTAGTCTGCTGCTGACCATTTAATCCATTTTTATATATGACAAAGGAGGTAAGTTTATCTTCTCTAACAACTTTGCTGATTCCAAAGGTGATTTTATCAGCACTCTGATCTGTCTGTGAAAAATAAGTTTTTACATGGAGCATACTACAAATAACTTAATTCTCATGGAAACCTAGTGACTTGGCCTTCTTTCCTTATTTAAAGAAGGGGCACTTTAGTCACAAAATCTGTCCAAGTATATGAAGTCATCTATTAGTATCTATTGCAGTATCGACACTGCTTAGATCAAGATCATTTAATATTGTGGTAGATTCTTCGGCTCTCTCAGTACCCCAAATGTTTGTCAGTCTTCGTTTTTTCCTCTTAGAAAAGATGCAGACCATTGGCTGGGCCGCATGTGGGTGTAACCACAGACAGAGTCAAGTACTGTACTTAACGCTTCAGTTCCTTGGCCCCAGAGCCAAACAAGACATCTACAGGGAACTAGGATATAAGGAAGTCTGCAGAGAGGAGCTCAGAAAAGCTAACTGACAATGTTGTTCATGAATTTCAAGGCTTACTACCAAGCTGGGCACATTAGAACCTAGACTACAGCAGACTGCAAACCTTAAGAACTGAAGTGAGAGAAAGAGCAATCGAGAGCCCTAGTAGTGACACATATATGGCATCATAACCATGGAAGACGGATGCAAACTTCTAGTCTGAATCCAACAGGTAGGATCAGCTCCTAAAACTAAAATATGAACACTCTCCTTAGGGTTTAAATGAAACATCAACAATACGTAAGATACAATTACAAATTATCTGTCATATGTCATAGCAGGAAAATGTCAACTTGCCCAGGAAAAGATAACGGGGCAAGTGGTGAGATGACAGGCATTGCAAGCACCTGGTACAGACTCAAGTGAAAATGGTCCGACAGCCTGGAACTAACGCAAAAACATCGAAGACATGCATGGGGACAGAACCAAGACCACAATGACCACAGCAAAAAGTCTCACTGGCCTGGCACAATACATGAATGGAGGAGAAAGAAAAGTTGATGAACTTGGAGATAAATAAAAATTATCTGCATAGAATAAGAGGAAAATGGATTCAACAAACTAGGAAAACAGAGCACTTCTCAGCAGGATAAAGAACATGGATATAAGCCTACTGCTAACCTCAAACGTAATGGTGATAAACTGTCCTCACCTTCAAAAGGACAGAGCAAAAGCAGGCTGCACCCCCCACCACGCCTAACCCACCTCACAGTAAAGGTCCTGAAACATCACTACTTTTATTCACAGAAAACATCATGATCTATCTATCTATCTAGAAAACCCCCAAAATGAACAACAACAGAAATTCTGGAATAAGCAAATCCAGCAAAGTTAGAATTCGAAAATGTATTTTACATGAATCGTCAGAAGGTATTTAGGTTTAAATCTTGCAAAACATGTACAAGATCTGTACACGCAAAACCCTAGAAGCACTGACTTAAAAAAATGCAAATCAAACAAAGGAGGAGGCTGCAATGCTTGGTAAGAAATGTACGCATTATCCTGCCCATGCAATTGTAACCCCTCTGTACAGTATGTTCACAAATAAAATAAAATTATAAAAAAAAATGCAAATCAGTTATAGAAGATATAAACAAAAAGATACATTACATTCATATATAGGATAACTCAATGCTACTAAGATATTACCTTTTGTCATTTTTTTCAATGAAACATGACTAGAAAGCCAGTGGCAAACACTAACACAACATAGCCAGAGAGGAATGACATATGACCTACAGAAAAATAATTAATTGAAATAAAGTGCTTCATCAGACAGCAAGATGATCAGAGAGAACTGACAAAGCATGTTCTGAGTGCTAACAAAAAGGAGCTGTAAATAATAACAACACATTCCTGAAAAAAAAAAGTCAGGAAAAGTAGCATCAGAAATGAAGGCAAAACAACAACAAAAATGATAAAAATCTAACAGATGAGGAAAGACTCCTTATGTGCTTGTGATTATTAATGTCTATAGAGGCAAATACCCAGAAAGGTGATGAGTCTATGGAGTATACAGTGGTACATCTTCTATATTGATTCTACATTGCTTCTAAAGTTATAAAAAAGTATACTCTGTAACCCCAAAGACAGTCACTAAAAAGCATATGCAGAATACAAATTAAGCAAGGATATAAACTAAAAGTAACTGATTAGGAAAGGGGAAAAGAGTAGGAATTTGGCATGCCAAGGGAGAAAAGTGGTATAGATGCTGACATGTTCCATAGAGTGGAAGACTGTAAATCTCTAATAAAAACAAGGAAGGCATGTTTTCTCCTTCAGAGCGCAGAAGGCATTTCGATCATTTGCAGAAGTTTTGCAAGTAGTGAGGGGAGTATACCCTCTAGTTCCACACTCTTGAATTCAACTAACAAAAGACTGAAAATTACTTGAGAAAAAATAGATGCCTGTACCCAACATGAAAACTGTTTTTCTCTTGTCATCTGCTAAACAATACAGCATAACAAAAATCAGCATCTGCATGGTACTGAGTAATCTAAACATGATTGGAAATACATGTGGCCAATCATTAAGTCTTATGTAAATACACCATTGTATAAGGGACTCCAGCAGTCCTAGATTTTGGTCATACTAGTCCTCAGCCAAGCTCAGATTCCAAGGGGCAACATTAGACAAAGACTGCTAAAAAAGAATCAATCACTAAAATGTTTATCATATCTGTCATTCTTCCTGAAAGCCTATCATTAATAATGATTGTGTTCAAAAATTAGTCCAAGATACCATACCTGAATAATTGTTGCTGATGCATTTTGAATTTTCTCCAGTTTTTCCTCTTTTAAGATTAATAACTGTCTCTGTGCTAAGACTCTTCGCCAACATTTCTGAAGGACTAGTGCTGCAGTAACCTCTTTTTTCCATCGCTGTCTGCTTAGAAAATTGATTACAGCTTTCTGGATAATTCTTGCAGCTTTGTCTCGCTCCTTAAAATGAATGAATGAATGAATGAATGAATGAATGAATAAATAACAAGTATTCGTTACTTAAGACCTTAAACTGTTCTTTGTAAGATAATCGATTTTTAAATTGATTTAATCAAACTGATCCTTAACTGCCGCCAGGCATGTCAACACAGCCAGCAGATGTGCTTTCAGGTAACTTGTTTGATGAACCAGATTCCAAGAAACCATCCAAGATAAAGTGATAAAAATATGTTTGAGCTACCATAAATCCTCATTAAATAAAGTTAATTTGAAGTGTAACAGGGGACCTTTCTCAGAGTAGAGTCTAGAGAATTTATGCATGAGCTTCAGGGAGGAGATGTACGGTATGAAAAGGAAATGCTTTGCAGCATAAGAAAGCATTGCCTATTATTGGGACAAAGCAACTCAAAAAAGAAGACTGATAAAATACTGCTTCCTTCAGCACAGAAGGCACTGAAGCATTAAGCCTAGATAGGTTCAAGAAGAATTCAACTTTACAAGAAGAGGACCTGAGATGCCCTGCAGGCTCTATGTTCACAGAGGAGACACCTGCCTAGAGAACCTGACAGGCCAGCTCCTTCCCTCCATATTACTGTTGGGATTACTTCTCAAAATAAACTACTACATTATGATGAATAACAATGTACTTTGGGGCTGGGAAGGTGGCTCAGTGGTAGAGTGCTTGCCTTGCATGCCTGAGGCCCTGGGTTCGATTCCTCAGCACCACATAAGCAAAAAGAAAAAAGCCAGAAGTGGCGCTGTGGCTCAAGTGGTAGAGTGCTAGCCTTGAACTGAAGAGCTGAGGGACAGCACCCAGGCCCAGGGTTCAGTCCCCACAACCGGACCCCAAAAGAAAAAAAAAATGTACTTTATATACCGTACTTAATGACTGACACATTTAAATCGTGTAAGAACAGATATGATCCTTGGGACAGTGAGGAAACTGAATCCCAGTAAGAACAGATATGATCCTTGGGACAGTGAGGAAACTGAATCCCAGGAGTCAACTGGCTTATCTGTTTACAGCCAACACAGGCAGGGTTTGAACCAGGCTGTCTGGCTCTAGTCCATGCTCTGATCACTTTGCTGTACTCTCCAAGGCTGGACTCATCACTTCACTTTACCTGAACTGGAAGCCAGAATACTAGTTGAAATGAGTTATATATATACCATATATACTATATATATATATATATATTTTTTTTTTATATTGCTATCAGGGTCAAGCCACCAGACAAGCATGGACTCTACAGAAAGTGTAACCATAGACCCAATTACACAGTATGGAAACACATCTTCCTAACATCTGTGAAGTTCTGAGTTCGAACCCAGTACCACTACTAAATAAACCGGCATCTTAGAAAGTGCAATTCATACTACAATGTTTTCATTTTCTAGAATTACCTTATAGTGTTTTAGATCTTTTTTTAGCTTATGTTTTCTCCAAGCTGTCTGTATGAGTCGAGCAGCCCTGATCTCTTTACGAAGATCCAAAAGCCTTGCACAGAGGAATGACAAATAGGTAATAACAACCTAAGGGAAAAGACAAGATGAGAGCAGATCAACAGAATATGTGACATACTGTCACACTGAGACTTACAACCAGGTTCTTAATCAAGAGAGACTTCTCTCCCTTGCCTTTTCATCAGGAATTGTATTTGACATATCTGAATGATGGATCATAGCAGGTATTCCACCCAGGTCTCTTGCTGCAGATGTTACCAAACGAAAATTTTTCTTTTCATTTTCTAGAAGCTCTTTGTGTAGTTCTGAGGCATTTTCTATTACAGAAAGTGAAAAGGAAAACAGAATTAGACTGCTGCAGTTCAGACTCACATATGGCAAAGAATCAGAGAAGTTAATCAGCAAAACAAAGAGGGCCGACCGTGATCCAATGCTTGAAAAGACACATCCAGAATACTATCGTCACATTCAGAGGAGGAGTTCAATACCACGGAGCCTGTCTGCGTGCACTCCACAGTCTGGGTGGTGCGCTGACACACAGCATCCAAAGGCAAATAGCAAGGATGGTAGTGGTGGATCAGGTAACATAAAACACGGCCATCTGAGAAAGACACTGTGAAATTCTCCACCTGAGAGGAAGTACCAGAAAAATAATTAGCTTTACTTAGAGATGAATATAAACATAATAGTTCTGTAGTCTTTCTCTCTGTTTATGTCAGTACTGAGATAAGCAGTCAGGGCCTTGTGCTTGCTTGGCTTTCTTGGTTTGCTTTCTAGGCTGGTATTGTACACTTAAGCCATTCCTCCAGTACAGCTTTTTCCCAGTTATTTTGGAGATAAGGTCTCACTGACATTTCTACCTGGGCTGGCTTTCAACAAAGATCATCTAATTTGCAGCTTCCTGAGAAGCTAAGATTACAGGCATGATCTAACAGTACCTGGCTTCAATTCCCTCTAAATAGTGAATAGAATCATACCACTAGCAGCACCAAGTATAACATTCATTCATTCTATTATTAATACTCAATGGCTAATAATCAATTGCTGATCGATTAAAACTGTTAAATACTAACCACTTCATTTGAGGAAAAGCTTGTCTATATAAACTGTTCAAAAATGCAAGAAAATATTTTATCCATCTAGGAAGACTTCAGCTGAGGTTTATGTAAAGATATTATGTTGAAATAAAAGGAAAACGACTTACCTTCTTATTGTAGAAGGCACACACTGCATTTACCCACTCCATCAACAACTTCACACTGTCACTGTATTGTTCAAGGGGAGCACTATTCCTTTTGTCTTTTTTTTTGTTCATAGTGGCATCAGAACAACATGATAGTGCAGAAATTGCTTTTCTTATGCTGTGTGTGTGTTTTAGGAAGTCAATTTCTTCCCTTAGTTGTTCTAAATTAAGGGAAATATCCACCTGAAACATACAAAAAAACTTTTTTTTTTTGGGTCTGGTCGTGGGGCCTGAACTCTGGCCCGGGCCCCGTCCCTCAGCTCTTCAGTTCAAGGCTAGCACTCTACCACTTGAGCCACAGCGCCACTTCTGGCTTTTTTCTTTTTGCTTATGTGGTGCTGAGGAATCGAACCCAGGGCCTCAGGCATGCAAGGTAAGCACTCTACCACTGAGCCACCTTCCCAGACTCATACAAAATTTTTTAAAAAGACAATTTCTTAACTCAATTTTAAACTTGCAGATATTAAAGCAACTGTCTTCTACTTAGAGAAATATGGAAGAAAAACAGACATCAAAAGAAAGGCCAAACTTTTCATGTAAGTTGAAACTATGGAGAATTGGTAGACTGCTGAGTGATTAAGAACCTCTACTCTTTTACTCAGTAATATGAACTTTACTTTTAGATTCCTCCAGTGAGGGAGACTTAAGATTAAATTGGAACCACATAAAGCCATCATCACAGTTCCTTGAACAGTTTATAAACCACAGCAAGTGCTAAGTACTTTTGCTGGTCTTTAGTTGATTCAAATTGATTTTCTAAATCAGTATTCAGAATTGATATATAGTACAGTGCGCCAAGCATGTACCATACCTGAAAAGCACAGGCGATTTTCCAAAGCAATGCAAGAGTCTTTTCTCTGTGCCTATCCACAATGTCCTTGGAGAAGATAGGGTTTCCTATAAATGAGAATGCAGCAGGTCAACATGACATTTGTACACACTAATGCTAAAAGAGTAACTTGTAGCTCTATGTGGTTTTTACCATGTTCATCACTCAACTGAATTCCTCGTGATTTAAGAACTTGAAGGACTATATCAACATTGTGCATCTTTTGAAGACGGCTTATGGCAGGAATCCTGAGTTTCTTTGAAAGAGTCCAGTTCTGTGTGAGAAGTTCCATGGTTCGCCTAAAGGTAAAGAAACTGTTTTCAGGTAAAACTGTTATATAAAAGTATACATTAAAAAAAAAAAATCCATGTTCTCTGAAGGTGTGGCTCAAGCTGTTGACACAAGTCTACCAAGCAAAAGGCCCTGAGTTCAAACCTCTATACCACAAACTAAACAAAAATCCATGTTGTTTTTAATAAATTTATACTGGGTGAAAAAAGAAAAATGTCTCCAAGCAAAAATGATGAAGAAGTCAACTACAGTACAGAGTAAAGTCTATTCCATCCAAAGAAGGAACGCACACCTGCCACTCAAAACACAGCTAATGTTGAGGGTTCCAGTTGGAAAAATACTTTAAGTCAAACATCATGAATTCATGTCAAATTCCATCATCTAAAACTTGGGCAAGAAGTTCTTCCTTCTCACCACATTTTATTCATGCACAAAGGAAGACTGGTAGAAACAGTGATATGCACCTTATGAAATTTTATGCTGATATAAAATTTTACTTAAGTGCTTGATATTTTAATTAGCTTTCTGACCTTTCAAACTACTGTTCTGAGACAGTAGTTCTTACCAATAGGCCCTAGTCACATTCTAACAAGGGGGAAAGAAGTGTGATTAAGAAAAAGGTATCTGAGCATAAAAACAATATCTTTTTTCTTTTTATAAAGAAATCTCAGTTTCTTTAACCTTGAATTTATTCCATCATATACAAGAACAAGTATTAAAGAGCATAAAGTAGTAATACAAGGTTTTAGTCTATCCCACTAAACAAAATAATTCTATTTCTTATACTTACACAAGTCTCACCCCACATTGTAAATCCACAGCAAGATTTGTGACAGCAAAGTCAAATTCATCAAATGGCATCTGAACATGGCTCACGGGAAATCCCAATAAGCTAAGGTGACGGGAGAGATCCCCTTCACCACTCAGGAAATCTCGTGAAAAAGCCAGAAGAATATCTTTACTGGCCTATAAAAAAACAAGGTGCAGGTATCACATTTCAATACGGTAAGTCTATCTACAATAAAAACGAAGTCCTTCTGATCACTGTATACATAGAGAAATAAATAGCGTAAGAAGATTGTTAGCTTCATATGTATGGCAATTATGTAAGTTCCATATATTTCAAACATAAGACATGTTTATAAATGGTTCGTGCTGGTTACCAGTGGCTTATACCTGTATATCATTAACTAGCTATTTCAGGAAGCTGAGGTCTGAGTATCACAGTTCAAAGCCAGCCTTTGCAGAAATGTCCATGAAATTCTTATCTCTAATTAATTAGCAAAAAAGTAAAATAGCAAATAGTAAAAATGTAAAATAGTAAATAGTAGAGTGGTGGCCTTAAACAACAAAGCTAAAGGACAATGACCATGCCCCAAGTTCAAGCCCTAGGAATAGTAGGTCCACACATATAAAAATTGCTCACAAATGGGCTGGGAAGGTGGCTCAGTGGTAGAGCGCTTGCCTTGCATGCCAGAGGCCCTGGGTTCGATTCCTCAGCACCACATAAGCAAAAAGAAAAAAGCCAGAAGTGGTGCTGTGGCTCAAGTGGTAGAGTGCTAACCTTAAGCTGAAGAGCTGAGGGACAGCGCCCAGGCCCAGAGTTCAGGCCCCGCGACCGGACCCAAAAAATAAATAAATAGATAAATAATAAAAATTGCTCACAATTAACAATAACTATAATGGCATTAATTTTATAATACATTATATCAAAATTAGGGGAAAATTCACCAAAGTTAATTCCTCAGCAAGTTACATTCATTGTCAAGTCAACACAAAGAGTAAGGATGGGAATTGGAGATGTGGCTCAGTTGTTAGTGCCAGCCAATGAGCAAAAGCATCAGGTACTGAGTTTGCATCAGGTACCCCATTCAAGTCCCAATCTCAGGCAAAATAAGAGTAAAGATGATGCGAACAAGCAGTCAATAGATAGACATGCATTCTATCAAGCAGTCAATAGATAGACATGCATTCCTTTACTACCCCAAAATATATTTTCTACAGAAAATACACCATAAAAATCATCAGGTATTTCAAATGGGAAATATTATAAAACAAAAGAGAAAACTATACCTTGAATTCAGCATCTTTACAAAAGAGACAAGGGTCATGATCAATAAGTCTGGAAATCTTAGCATGATCAAGAAAGCAGACCAAGAGCAGTAATTTCTTCAGTGTAAACTTGGACAAAGCTTCTTCATGACCTGAAATAAAGACACACAAGTTCATCTATAAAAGGAAGCTTCACCTAAGACTATGGCAGTAACAGGCTAGCAAAAAACTAGGAGCAAAAACAAATAAAACACTGCCCTTTTATCAGTACTTATTATTTATGAATCTATTGTATAATTATACAGGGAATGTTAAATTTAATATTTCTATTATAAGGAGATGCCATGTTAACATCAAGAGATTTAGCTGGTCTTATTCAGCAAATACGTAATAAGCACTTATCATATTCACATTCCACCCTAGGTGCAACAATGTAAAATAGCAAATTACAAAAATAAACCTCACAGTACTTGGAACCTAGGTAAGAATGATTATAGTGATAGAGAAGCTGATGGAGAACAGTGAGAGAAGGGAGTCGAAAGAGATTGACTTGGATTGGTTTCTTGGGGGAAGTAGAATACAAGAAGACAAATGACTAGAAGACATAATGCCCAGTATAAAAGATGACCTGGAAGAAGACACACTCACCATCTCTATAGAGATGAGGCACAGTGGGATGTCTATACTCAGCTGCTATCTCGGGATTCCAAAGCAAGCGATTCAGAATGAACACAGCCAATCCAAGGATATCACTATTGTCTTCCAAAGATATGAGTTCTCCATAAATTGTCTGAAAAAAACATCAATGCCAAAGTCAAGATTATGCTGTTTCTCAGAAAGCAAGGAATCCATTGCATCAGTGCAGAGTTGGCAATGAGCTCCTCCCTAAATCCTACAGACATGACACAGCTACTTCACTAGACAACTTCTTTAAACTGCACATGTCTCATGCATTTTTAGTGTTTATAATAGAAATGAAAAATGAGGACTAAAACATTCTTAAGCATCTGCCAAGCAATATTTATTTTTCTCTTAAAGAATTATCAAATATTTGCATGTTGGTCAAATTTCACTGTCACTGTGTCCCAGTAAATCTGTTATTAAAGTACACCAAAGGCATGACTCAAGTAGTAGAGTGTCAGCTGTGAGCAAGAAAGCCAAGTAAGAGTGTGGAGTCCTGAGTTCAAGCCCCAGAACCAGCACAAACAATAAATGAAGATTAAAGAAAAAGACATTCATTTTCTACCCAATGATCTTGTTTTCAGCAAGCAATGTGGGGGAATGTTAATTCAGCTACAGCTGGTTAATATGTAACTTACTGCGTACCCAAAGTAATGAAATAAAAATATCTTAGCACTGAAACAAGCTATGTCACTATACTTATTCTTACTTTTCTCTGAGTGTCAAGTTATTGATACAGAAAAGCCAGGTGACTACAAAAATCTTCAGTAGCCCTAAATATTCTTCTGTTCTTAACTTGGAATAAATAAAAGTAACAATGAAAGGTAAGAAACCTAAAAGACTAAAAGCACAGAACACACTACTATAAAAGCAATGTGTCTTCCACTAACTCCTGCCAGTAGCTGCTGACTCAAGTAGTTTTAACAAGCTGGAAATTAGAGAGCTAAAACAAAAAAAGAAACTAGATAAGTAACTCAAACTCTGATGAAGATTTTATGAGAAATTCTCCATCAGAATACCTTGAAAAGTGCTCTGGCATCGGCCTATGAAGGTTCAAGACCTGGCTAATTACGCATTTGGCAAGTCAGCTTAACATCATAGCCTTTGTTTTACTAGTGAAAATAATAACACATATCTCACTGAGTTCTAAAGAGTTTAAATTAGAAAAGGCAGCCAAAACAGTTTAGTCTTTTCAACTCTGAAAGTTCAAAAATGAGCTGGCTATAATTGTTTTTACATCTAGCACCACGTATGTATTTTTAAGACTACACAGGTAGCTTACTCTGTAACAATATGGAAATAACATAATGGTATGGCCCAGTCACTTAATGAGTATTATTAATTGGCCTTATAACTTATATACAAATAATAAGCAAATGATTTTATAACTTTCATAAGTAAAACCTTATTTTATTAAAGAGCCTATCTTATTAAAAGCATGTAAATTAAATATATATAAATATATTTTTTCCCCCAAATCTGAAATACATGCTCACCTCAAGGCCAATTCGAAGCCACAAAGGATTGTATGACAACAGCCAATTCAGGACTTTCTGCCGTTCACCTGAAATAAAATTGTTTAAATCAATAATCAAACAGACAGGCTGGGAAGATGGCTCAGTGGTAGAGCGTGTGCCTTGCATGCCTGAGGCCCTGGGTTCGATTCCTCAGCACCACATAAGCAAAAAGAAAAAGCCGGAAATAGCGCTATGGCTCAAGTGGTAGAGTGCTAGCCTTGAGCTGAAGAGCTGAGGGACAGCGCCCAGGCCCAGAGTTCAGGCCCCACAACCGGACCCAAAAAATAAAAAAATAATCAAACAGACAATAAATAAAATTCCAGGGCAAAAATATCGACACAAAAAACAAAAAAACAATCATTACTCAAAAGTAAAGCTGTGTCTCAAGTGGTAGAGCACTAGCCTTGAGCAAAAAGACAACCCAGGGATAGCACCCATTGAGTGCAAGCTCTTAGAACCAGCACAAAATGCAAAACGAAGTCAATTTAAATAAGAAATAATTCTTAAATATATTCAGTCATATGAAAGTCTAGGCAGATATACTCAGCTTTAGAATACAAAAATCTCTTGTGTATAAATACACGAAAAAACTAAAATTAGTGCCTGGAAAAGCTAACTCAATTCCATGTTTATGGCAGCATTACTGACAACACCCAACATATGTATGAATGGGTATAAAATCTCCATCAATAGATGAATGTATGAAAAAATGTACTGAGTACATCTACACAACGGAATCCTTGCAGCCTTGAAGAAGGAAATCCTGTCATTTGGTGAAATATGAATGAACTAGGAGGACATATTGTTACATAAAGCAAGCCTGGGACAGAAAGGGAAATACTGCATGATCGCTCTTGTACCGGGAGAGTACCCTGCAGTGTCTGGGGAGATGTTGATTAAAAGAATAAACACTCCAGGTAGGCAAGAAGAATAAACACTGGAGATCTATTACACCATAGAGCACTGTTCATTTGAATTTGCTGAGAGTAGGTGTCCAGTGGCCCTCAGCCCTGTACCCTCTGGGTGCTAGCTGGTAGGTGTTCATTAGCTGGACTGTGCTCTTCATTTCACCGTGTATACACACACCAAAGTCACACATTTTGAAGGTACACCACACCTCAATAAATAAGCTGGGGGAAACAAAGTTCTCAGTCTCTAGAGCCTTAAACAATAAACTCAAGATTTCCATGATCATCTTACCCACATCTTTCCAGAGGTGTCTATCTTTTCGAACAAGTAACCGTCCGGCTTCAATTTCAATTTCGAGCCTTTTAATGGCTTTAACCATATTCTCAGAAGTAAACAGGCAGCATGCTGTGCATCGCAATCTATTCAGCCGGCAGCGCGCAGTATAGGCTCTGAGAGACACTTCCTCCTTTGTGGGTGCTTTAGGCACACTTACTTTGTGTGGATTCTCCACTCCCAGAAGAAGAGTGGCAGCATTTACTGGATTAAAAACAAAAGGATAATCGGTTCTAGTTAAACAACATCCCTATACACTCTTAAACTTAGTAATAAAATGCAAATTAAGTCAAATCTCTTCCCTCTGACCTCAAGCTGTCACCATGCAGTTAGCACCTTTGGTCATCCATCATTACAACCCACTGGCTCTACCTGTAGGAAGGGGCCTGAGGTTAGCCACCGTCACCACCCCACAGACACATAGTTCTCAGCACCATCATCTGTAATTCACACTAAAAAAGGGGTCTCACTGGTTCTCTGTGTCCATATTCTCATGAATTAACAAAAAGTTAAAATTTTAAAGTTGTTTTTATGCCTTTAACTCAGGGCCTGGGCACTGTCCCTGAGCTGTTGTGCTCAAGGTTAGTGCTCTACCATGTTGAGCCACAACTCCACTTCTAGCTTTTTGATGGTTAACTGGAAATAAAAGTCTTATGAACTTTCCTGCCTACGCCAGCTTTGAACTGTATTCCTCAAATTTCAGCTTCTTGAATAGCAAGAACTACAGGCCTGAGCTATAAGCACCTGACAGAAATGTAATTTTTTAAAGTAATTTAATTTTGAAATATTATTTGAGTCTACAGCCGTACCACCCTGAACGCACCCGATCTCGTCTGAAATATTATTTGAAAAAAAAATGTTTTTGTCTTAGGGATTTGAACTCAGGGTCTCATGCTTGTTAGACAGGTACTCTTCAGTTAAGCCACGCCTCCAGCCCATTTTTACACTGGTTATCTAAGTGAGATATGGTTCCTTTCATACTTGGGATGACAGGTTTGTACCATGATCCTCAGCTTCTTCTGTCTGGGTTGCCTGGAATCAAGATCCTTTCCATCTCACTCAGCCCTTCAAGCAGATAAACGCTAGCTACTCAGGAAATAGATCTAAGGATCGTGGTAGTTAAAGCCTGTCTAGGTAAACAAATCTAAGAAACCTTTATCTTCAATTAACAAGCACAAAGCTGGAATTAGAAGGAAGGCTCAAGTGCAGAATGTCAAGAACGTAAGTCCTGAGTTCAAACTCCACTACGAACCTGTGTGATAAAGCATTTAATCTTAAGACAAGAACTTAATATTGAACCTTATTTTCTATTGAGGAAAAAAAAAGTCATTCAAGAGCTCATCCAATCCAAGGACTCCTTTAATATAGAAATTCTGTGCTACTTCCCTAAGAAATACAAACCACTCGCTGTCTGCTTGAATACAACAAGAAAAAACACTGTTGTACAAGACTTGTCTCCTCGATAATTTGACAACTTCCTAAACAGTTTTCAGTATTTGGATCTGAAATTGATCCTGATCATGAACATCTACACAAGAGCTGCACAAGAGCAAACTTCTTTCTCTTTCAAAAGAAAATGCTGTGCATTTCTACCATGCCCCGACTTGTCCCCACACCTTAATCTTTCTCTTCCGGAATAAACACTGAAACATCTTAAGAATTCCTCATATGTTCAGAATTCGGGCACCTTTCCCACATACTTCTTTTTTATTGTGAGAATACCATACAGAGGAGTTACAATTACCCGGGCAATCCCACGTACTTCTTTAAGGTGACTGACAATAGAGTCAACATACTCCCAATGATCAGGTCACAGATCCCGGATTGCACCGGCGGACCAGAGAATAAAATGCACAAAGAGAAAATAAATTCCAGTATTGTCAGTGCAGAAAAATCTATGTAGGTAATAATAACCATTAGCATTTAGGACAATGAATCCATGACTCAGGCCATTAAGTACAAATAATACAATATACATAATTAAGAGTAATATTAAAATCAAATATAAATTTAATATTTACCTTCAGAAACACTTGTTTTTACTGTGAAGTCATCAGGAGTCAATATAAAATTCAGCCACCAAGTGAAGCCCTGTTCCTGCTTTTCCTTCCAGCGTTCATCATAAAACATATTTTTGGCAGCAAACGGCATTGGGTGCCTGGGCATAGCTATCAATACAGTGAAATGATTGCATTGGAAGATTTCCTTTAAATTATTGTACAATATATGGCAAAAGGCTTTTCTTTACATTAGCAAACCCATCTTTAGAACTGTGAATAATATTTGCTTTTTACTACTTGCTAGAAAGAACTAAAATTATTTTGTTTATGAAATACCTTCAGAGTAAAAAGAGAAAAGATAATTATTTCTTGAATATCTAAAAACCCTAAGTCATCAGGAGTCAATTTCAGTAAAGTATGACAGAACATCCCAATCATAACTTGAATACACACTTAAAACATTCTTTAAGACAAAGCTGACTCATTTCCACTTGCAATACAATAAATGTTTCTTTCAGTGTCACTTTCTCAAATACCTTAAATACAATAAACACTTGCCTGTTTTTAATGGCTTGATGAAGGTCAGATTCGATTGTGCCACAGCAATAACGCGCTTTCTCCTTTTGCTCGTTTTAGAAATAGGTGTTTTAAATACTAATGAATCTAAAATTAAAAAAAAAAGAACAGCATCACAAAAACAAGCTCCCCAAGCAGTCAACTGACCTTAAAGTTAAATTTGAGATTTCCACAACCATATTCATTTAGCAAATACTCGGTAACTCCTATGCTCCTGGTCCTATTGTCGTGAACTCAAGTGGTCAAAAAACACCAGCACCTGCACGTTTCTACAACTACAACCTAGATTCACTTATTCCAGACTCTATGTGAAGTGCAAGGAAAATGCAGAAATGAAAGATATGACCTCAACCATCTCTCAGTCTGGTATGGAAGAAGTTTAGAAGAGGCAAAAATGCCCTTGGACACAGGAAGGCTCTAAGGCTAACTCGTAAGATGAAAACTAGGCATACAGCCTGGTGACCGAACTGCAGTAGGATAGCAAAAAACAGGCGAGAAACAGCATACAAGAGGACGGAAGAGGCAGCAACATCAACAGTAACAACAGCTAATACCTGAATACACTGCTATCTATATACCACCAAATACTGATCCCTTACTTATATAATTATCATAGCAAATCTAGGAGTATGAAAATTACCCATAATTTACATAATTGGGATAATTTACATAATAAGAGCAATTAAACCAGTGTGGTCAAGGCCATACAAGGTAGGGAGTGGCAGGATTTGAACCTGGACTGAACAGCTGCACAGTCTGTATCAGAAATCTATGTAGGTTAAAGTTAGTATCTCCGTAACCTTTAGCATCTAGGACAATGAGTCTATGTAGATACATAGGTGTGGCAGGAGTCACAGATTTGTTGTCCTAAATGCTAAAGGTCATGTAGGAACTTATTTCTGCACTGAAGGTACTGGTACAGGCTCTGCAACTCTGCCGTCTAGGTTGATGACAGTACAGGTTTTACTCCAGCATAAACTGCTACTAAAGTAAGCAAAGGAGTGTGGGCAGTCAGCAAACTACAAGCTACCATCCAGGATGAGACAGAGTCTAAAATGTTCCTGAAGGTCAAGGGTTAGGGTCAACAAGAAGCTTCCCACTGAGACAACTGCAGGACCCTCCCGGCCGAGGAGGAAGAGAACCAGGAGAGGGGATGGCAAGGCAGGATTCTAAGAAGGCTCAGAGTTCTGAACAGTTGCTAACAGTTCAAGAAGAAGAGCAGACATGATCACTGGATTTACAATTGACCAGATACTCTATTCGTCTGTTTTAAACAACATTTAAAAGAATTCATATTCTCATTTCTCCTCTAGGTACTTATTGGCATACCTTTCTGCATATAGATAATATTTGAGTGAAAATGTACTTTCTTGAAGTAAAATCTCAACTGGAACAACACTTATGTTGGCTATTTCCCATTCCTCTCCAATCAGTCTGGCTCCATTCCTGGAACTTTTCTTACCAGGGCCAACAGCTATGGGTTAATCAGGTCAGAACTCTATCATACGAAGAGGAGCATCTGAGCTTCTATTTTCTCAAATGAAACAGGAAGATCATCAGTCCTGAGACCCTGACTAGGTTAAACCTCAGCTACATCACTTACTATTCTGTGACCTTGTGGAAAACTGCTCCATTTCTTAATTCAAAATACTTCTGCATTCATGATACTATACTTGAGGTAATGACATTTACTTCCTAAGAATACTGTAAACGTTAAAGAAAGCAACAGGAAAGCACTCACAATTGTGGACACATTTTCAGAAAATGTTATTTACTATTATCATGCCTGAGAGAAAAGGAAAGGTCGCAGGAGAAAGCGAGCGATGAGACAACCTATAGCGAAGTGATAAAATATAGGCAAAAAAAAAAAAAAAGAGTTGGCTTAATTGAGGTTAGTAGTCATAACAAATTCAGGATACAGCCTGGAGCTAGAATTTTGTGGGAAAACAAGGAAGGGAAAGATGGGTGAGTGAAGGGAGTATGATGAATTACTGAATTCAAGCTGTAAGGATGGGATGAACATACCAGAGGTGAGGGAGATCAAGGATCTGCAAGTATTGAGGGGTATGAAGAATGTTAGTGTGCACCTGTAGAGGAAAAGCTGAAATCATAGAGATGGTGACTAGAGACCAAGAGGCTTTTAAGGTGAATCATGGCCTTAGGAGGTGCTGGCCAGAAGCCAGGTTTTTAGAAGACTCTCCTACAAGAGTTTGGCAATCATGTTAGAGTAGTTTGAGAGACAGTATCATATATCAGACTGAAAATTTGGGGAGTAATTATTTAAAACTCAGAATTAGTGCAGAAATTTCAGGAGCAAGCAAAATCTCAAGATTTCCTATTGAAGAGGATCACAACTATTTCAGAATTTAGTCTTACACTACTATGCCATTTACTCCATATTTCTCTTATCAGATCCCTAACAGTTTAACACAAGCTCAACAGCAACAGATTAAGCCAAAACAAAGAGATTTGCTAAACCAACACAGGAAATACGTCCTTTATGAATACACTTCCCCTAAAGATTTTAACAAAACTCACCAGATTTCTTCCTCAGGCTTAATTTCTCCCTGCTGCAACTATGTTTAGAGACAGGAGTTACCATCTTCTTGTCCTTTCTAACAGTTGATGTTTTAGATTCCGAGGGAGAAAAATGGATTCTTTTAATGTCACACACTTCCGAATGTTGTGTAAGGACGTCCTTCCCGTCCAGGTCCCCCATGCCTCCATCACTCTTCCGCTTACGGGCAGCCAGAGGAGTGATTTCATGTGCGTAATTCTCCAATTTCCTTTGGCCGGGATCTATAACTGGAATAACTGGAAGATGGAGAAGTGTCTCTCTCTCTCTCTGGTTACCTAGCACCTTTTCGCATTCACCTACCACACTGTTGAGACATCTTCTTGTTTGTGGCTTAGGGACGTCAGTTCGGTTTTCCCTGGCACAGGTGGGCTTCCTTTTAACAACAGTGGCAGTGAGTATCGGGCGTTTCTTAGGTTGTTTGTTGTGGCCTTGATAAGGAACATCTTGAACAGCAGAAAATGCAGGACGAGTCTGTTCTGTACAACTGGAATAGTTTGACTTTGTTTCTACAGGTTTTAATTCTTCAAAAGTCTCCTTGGGAGTTTTTGAATGCTGTCGTTCAGGAACACGTAGTAAAACTCCATTTTCTTCCCAATCCCGAGAACACTGCAGGACCTGAGAACTTTCATTTGCTAATGGTTTACCTGTTTGCTCAGATATACATACATGTGGCATGTTATCCTTTACAAATTGACTTGGGGATAAAATAGTACGGGTGGACCCTGATTGTAGATCCTGATTTAGCCCATAATTGTCCTTTACAAAAGAATCTGGGCTTAAAATTGCTTGGCAAATTTCGGGTAGGATTTTGGATTCCAAACACACAGGCTTCAAACTGTCCTTCGCAAATGTGTTTGCTGAGATATGTGTCATTAACCCTGGTTCATCATTAGCTGCCTGGCTATTTTTTACAAAAGAATCTGGACTTATAAAATGTCCTTGGCTTTGTATAAAGTTCAAAGTCGAAGAACAATTTGGGGTACAAATAAGTTTACCATTCTCTTGACTTGAACCAGGAATATTAATGGAGTTAAAGCAAGTTTCAGTTATGACTTTCTCATTGAAAGCAAAGTCTTTTGAATTACCAGTTCCTTCTACTTGCTCTCCATTTTCAGAGGCAGGAAGAGATGAGTAGGCAGTAGATCGGCGTAGAAAAAGTGGCAAACAGGTTTCTCCATGGCACTCTTTGAAAGCAGGGCTGATAGGTGATATAGGTATTTTATTTTCTTCGAGAGCTAAAGCATTGCTTTTGGTTGGAGAACAGTCTTCACTGGTAGTGAGATTCTCACAAGCTTGTAGGGGGCTCCTAACTCTGGCTCCTTTCTGTGAAACATTAAATGTTTCATTGATATTTTGAGTATTTGAAATCCTTTTATGGTGAGTTGAAGAGACTGGAATTTTCTTCTTGCTAATGGTGTCCCAAAGACTCTTCTGTAAAAATAAGCAAATATGCTGATCAAGTTACAAGATGTTGACTGTTACTTTCATTTTTTTATTTTATTTATTTAGTGCTAGTCCTGGGGCTTGAACTCAGAGCTTGGGTGCTACCCTGAGTTTTTTTTCTCTATGTTAGCATGTGCTAACACTTGAGCCACAGTGCCACTTCTGCTTTTTGATGATCAATTAGGGATAAGAGACCCATGGACTTTCCTGTCCAAGCTGGCTTCAAACTACAATCCTTAGATCTCAACCTCCTGAGTAGCTAGGATGACAGGTGTGAGTCACCAGTGACATATGTTACTTCCAGTCTATCAATGAAGTAGTACATAAGAATTCTTATATTATTAAACATTTTTCTGAGAGTATACACACAATGACTAAAATAGTATCTTTCATGCTAATTTATTTTATATGAAACAATAATAAAAAAAAACAAACACAAGGAAGAGAATTACCTTTTTCTTTTTTTGTTCTTCGGCATTCCCTAATAATATAGCTTGGTGTTTCAGGATATCATTAACAACAAATGTCACAATCTCTCTTACTCGGCCCTCTTTCACCGGTGTCCAGGTAACAGAAATAACAATCTTTTCTTTAGGCTATAATCAAAGGAACAAATTTTAAATGATTACAATAATAATTATACAATAATCAAGACACACTATATCCAAATTAGAATAGGGAATAATTGTTATTCATCAATAATCCACAGTCTATAGCATTTAATAAGTCAAACATTTTTCCTACTCTCATTTTCCTGCTTATTTCAAGCTAAGGGGGAAAAAGTCACTAGCAGTAGCAGGGTCCAATCTCATTATATGAAAGCAATGGAACAGATAAGTTTCCGCATGATTTTTTTTTTTTTTTTGGTTGGTCGAGGGGCTTGAACTCTGGGCTTGGGCACTGTCCCTGCGCTCTTCAGCTCAAGGCAAGCACTCTACCACTTGAGCCACAGCTACACTTCTAGTTTTCGAGTGGTTTATTGGACATAAGAGTCTCATGGACTTTCCTGCCCGGGCTGGCTTTGAACCTCCATCCTCAGATCTCATCCTCCTGAGTAGCTAGGATTACAGGCGTGAGCCACCGGCACCCGGCTTCCACATCATTTTTATTGGTTTAAAAAAAGCTTGTTATGGGGACTGGCATTTAAGTGTATGCTTAGCATGCACAAGACTTCTGGTTTAAAAAAAATGTTCTTTATTATGAAAAGTACTTCTACGTCATAACAGCGACCCTACATCATACTCTATGTAAAAAGAAATATAAGTATGTACAACTAATTTCACTCTTCCAACAAACTCCTCTACCCTCCATATCTTAATACAAGTCTTTGCTAAGCAACCATGTTCCAGGCATGAGAGAAGGTACCCCTCCCCCTTTAACAAACTTGTTCAATGCTCACATCCCCAAGAAACAGGTACTATGGTGATGTGTGTTTTACAGAGGAAATCATGAATGTCCAGACAGCTTCGCCACAGTCAAAGAGTTGAGTCTGACCCCGAGTTCAGACTTTAACATCAATACCACACAGCCTACCACAGAGAATCTGCCAAATGCAAAGCCTTGACATGACAAACTTACTTCCTAAGGAAAAAGATAAGTTTCTGTTTGAAAAGAGAACCAATAAAGCATTATATGCTGCTGGTTAAAATAAAAGTAATATAGAATCTGTTTGTTTGTTTGCCAGTTCTGGGGCATGAACTCAAGGTATAGGTGCTGTCCCTGAGCTCTTTTGCTAGAGGCTAGTGCTAAGAGTCTCATGGACTTTTTTGCCCTGGTTGGTTTTGACTCACGATTCTCAGATCTCAGTCTCCTAAGGAGTCAGGATTACATATGTGAGCCATATGTGTCCAGCAATAATTCAAATTTTACTCTACAATACCAGTCTAGAAACAGTAATTTACTTGTTTAACAAAATAGAAAAAAGTAAAAGCATTATGTAGACAAGAAAGCAATCTATCTTTTCACACAAAAGGACATCAGCCATTCGCTGTTCATGGAACAAAAAGGAGGGTGACAGGTTCTGAAGTGCAGAGAGCCATTGGTGACCATTAGGTGGCAGCTGAACTTAGTCTCCCTTGCTTACTCCTCAGTCTCTCCTTATGGGCCTTAGTGTTATTAGTCAAGTAGCTCAAATCGCTTCCAATGCTTCTGATACGTTCCTAGGTCCTACTCAAAAAGGACACAGTATCCACAGAACACCATATGGATTTTGGTGAAGAGACTGAGAATATTACCCCAGGCAATGAGATGCAATGCAATTTTTTTGTTAATGCAGTTTGTTGGAACATTCATAAAATTAAACTTGATACACCACTACTGCACCCGGAACAAAGACAGAAAAGTGTGCAAGCATTCCGCATGTGTGGAAAACCACCCTGAGGAAGTCTGCCAGCTGTGGCCATTTAGGCAAAACACACGTTCACCAGAAAACGCGGTTGCTCCCTCTGAAAATGGGAACTAAAGAGCAAGCTTAAGACGGGAGGCTGCTGAAATACGTAAACGGATGGATGGATGGACAGACAGCTAAGATGATGGACAGATCTCACAAATGGATTCGAAATCACCTTTGTAAGAAATGAGAATATTACAGAGTCCGCTCTTGGAAAGGGGGTGACAGTGACCCAGACGCACTGACATGTGACACGGAACCCCCTTGTTCTAGCTAGAGCTGAGAAAATCAGTTTGTAAGCTCCCATTTCCCGCCCGGGAAGCAGGGAACGCTTCCTCGTTCATCCTGATGTGCTAAAAACCCTTGCCAAAAATAAGAATAAAAATCAAACAGGAAGTTCAAAAACAGCAGCACCTATGCGTCTAGAACAGCAAGGAACGGGTCTGTTTCTCGGCAACGTTCGTGTACCCGGAGCAAATCGCCGGCCGGGTCCACCCAGAGGTGATCCAGGTAGAGATGCCGTCGGGGATGCGCGGCGCATGCGCACTGGCTCCGGCGCCTGCAGGCGCGTCCGTCCGCGGGGTACCGCACACAGGCGTGTACCTCTCACACACACACACATACACACAGGCGTGTGCATCCACTCCCGGGACCCCGCCCCGCCCCGCGGACCCGCGTCCCACCTGCAGCTCGCAGCGGCGCGGCTCCACGCTGAAGCCCAGGTCGGCGGCGGGGACGCGGACGTGCACCTCGGCCGCGTCGTCGTGCGGGTTGAGCAGCAGCAGGGGCCGCGTCCGCGACGCCCCCACGCGGACGTCGCCGAAGGAGACGAAGGGCGACCGGCAGAAGTGGCTGAGCGAGAGGACGGCCGGGGAGGCCGGCGAGGCCG